TAATCACGGTTTCATGATTATTACGATTATTATGCATTATTTAATTGCACAACACTAGTAATGACTTAAGTTGATTTTTAATATTTAATTACATTAACAATTATATTTCTATAATATGTAAGTATTATTAATATAAGAGGAATATTAACTTTTATCCCCCAGGGGAAATTGTTATAAAGCAGGGGAATAAACTGAACTGGTACTGTTACTGTCATCAACACTCATCCATACATGTTTTTGTGAAAATGAGAGAAAGAAATTGAGTGCGGTGTTGACTGAAACGACTGAAGGTCTTGAGAGGACTACGTTCTTCCATAAAGGCCCTTTAAGAAAAGAAGCGATTTGCACCGCGTGGAAGCTGCTCCGCACTAAAGTTCTACTGCTTTGACTGCGGCATGCGCGCGAGCTCGCCGTGCGGTGCACGTTGCTTGACGCAGCAACAAACCACTCTGGCGCGGCGCAAGCCACTGAAAAACAATGGGCCTCAAAGTGCAGCGGGGCTGTTGTTGCGGTATGTCTGAAAGTTTACACCTGCTTTGCTTGTTTACGTTGCAATGAATGCCCGACTCTCACCGCTACGGCATCGATTATAAGTGACACGTTTATATATAATTCCGTACCAACTTGCTACGTTATTTAATATAATGTATTAGGCCTACCTTTAGTGTAAGCTGGGTGGTGATCCCGCAGGTGCTTCATCAAGTTTAATGTAGTTATTCGTTCCTTTAGCAGGAGCCTTTTAACGGCAAGTTTTTGAACAGGTGATCCGTCATCTTCAGTGACACCCTGGTCAGACTTGGTGTACCCGAAATGCTCTCACACTGCCGACTTCGGCCGTTTCTCTGGTTTCGCCAGTGTGCAGTAGCCTCTGATAAGCACGACACTTACGCTGGTGCACCGCTACTGTAACTTTGTTTTTATTTTGTGCAAGTTGCCACAGTTTCGTTCCGTGCAACAGAAACACTCGGTGTAGCCTTTACGATTAATTAACCGTGACGTTTTAAAGCGCGGTTAATAGTGAAATCCGGTCATTGCTGCATCCCTAGCCGTGGATGTTTACAAGGCATTCTGGCCCCATCATAGGGGCTTCAAGGCAAGTTATCTTTGGCTCTGCTGCTTCAATTGTGACTATTCTTGTTGGCCATTGTGTTTAAATACTGCAGTACTGATTCACTTAGAGTTATAATTTACAGTGTCTATGAATGCTATAAAAGTGCAAAGGCTATACTTGTTTTTATTCCTTGAACTTTTTAGCTTAAATATCATGGTGCACAGCTGTGACTCAGCAAATGAAAACCCAAACTGTTCTTTATGTTTCCACATGCCAGTATTTGAGGGTCTTAACTGTTATAATAAAAACCACAGCCAATGAGCTCTCTTGAATGTTTACATTTTTCAAAATAAATGACAAAGATAATATTTTCTAGATGTTTAAGTGTTCTCTGCTGTACTGAAAACATAACAAACAGTGACCCCAAAACCAAGATACATGCTAAACCATGAATAAGATTATCCCTCTGTGAAACAGTGGGCCAGGGTGGGCAGGGCACTCCCATCAGCTGTGTGTCTAAAACAGAGCCCATTAAACACCTACCACTAATCTCTGTACACAGACACAGCCGACAGCCTGCATATAAACTCAGCACAACTGCTGCTTCAGCATCAGTCCTCGGTGAGACGAGTGAAGTCTCCGAATCGACATCTTGAGCATCAACACCTTCAGACAAAAATGGACCTCCGAACAACAGTTTCTCTTCTGCTGCTGCTTCTGGGCCTCTGTAAGGCTCACAGTGAGGACATCTCCACGACTATTCTGAGGATGAACAGTGGTGAGTATTTAATCATGATATTTAATTAATTTAATCATATTACAAGGAAAGCGAGGGAACATTAGAGTCTTACAATATTCAATAATAGAAACCATATATAGTGCAACACATTTTTGACAAACTTGCTTTGAAATTACTGATGGTCCGAGAGTTAGATCAAAATGCATATCTTCTTTTCTTCCTATAGAATATAGTGAATTTCTGCTGGAAGGAGATGTGATGATTCCAAAACCAGGAATGCTATGAAGTGTCTTCAAGGCGCAAACTCCTGTCTGTGGCCAAAGTCTGCTAATGGGAAAGTGGAAATTCCTTTCATTATAAGCGATGCATATGGTAGGTTTTATTTTGTAAACTACTACATTAATGGAGCTGGATTGTGCATTTTAACATGTCTCTTTCACATACTGTATCGATTATGTTACTGACAAAGTACTTTTATCCACAATTGTAGAAAACACTCAGAGGAATACGATTGTACAGGCCATGAAGGGCATTGAATCCAAAACCTGCATCAAATTCATTCCACAATCAACTCAGATGTCGTACTTAAGCATTGAATCTATGAATGGGTAAGTCTATATCTGAGGCACTCCAGTATGTGAAGGGGAGAAGGACACAAGGGCAAGTGTACAAAAAACGAGTCGGACAGTCAAGATAATTTATCGGTTAAGGGAAAAGTACAGTAAAAATACTTATCTACATTTATTTAATGTATTTGTTCATAATGTGGTAAATACAATAATGATGATGATAATGAAGCTTGGATTAGTTTTACAGTGTATTAAAAACTATTATCTATTATAACTTTATTTCACTTTAACCTATGCATCTGAATGTACTTCAAAGTTAAAATGTCCTCATGTGAATGACAACTTTCTCAACACAAAGTTTCTGAACAGCCTTGGTCTTTACACACCCATCTGATGCTACACACCGGCATGAAAGGATTACTTAACAGGCCTACAGGGTACACACCCAGCAGCCAAAGGCGCCTGTTTGTTCATTTAAACACGGTAATTTTAGTGAAGCTATTTAAAGGTTAAGTGAAGTGTGTAAGATTTAGTGGCATCTAGCGGTGAGGTTGCGAATTGCAACCAACTGTCTAGTCTTAAGCTTGATTTATACTCCTGCGTAGGGTAGCCAGGCATTTATACTTGTGCGTCCGTGTGTCCGTCAGTCTGCAATTACACCCCCAAACATAGTCGGCAGTAGCGCTACCGTGTTCACTGTGTTGACTGTTGCCGGCCGAGCAGGCTAACTTACGGTTTAGCCCTGCGATAACCTGAATGGGGTAAAATTGTAAACGTGTGCTCGTATAGCCTTTTCAAATGTTATCGACCGAGTGGATCACATTCTGATAGTGAAACGAGTCATTTCACTCAGGTTGTGACGGTCAAATATATCGATCCACCATGTTACAGCCACTGTTTTGGCCACTAGTAAAAGTAAAAGTTCTTGCTTTTAACTACAGCAGGAAGTACTTTTAAAATCCAACCCTCTTCCCTTTGGTTGGCCAAAATGCTTCATAAACACTTCGTGGTCTCCACACAACCTTTCTACATTGAATCAGCAACAAGTCAAGATCAGACCATCGGCTCACAACAAGAGTTTTAGAAGCAAGAACGAAACAATGAACTGTAAGTTTAGCTTCACAACAGATGTTTTTGCCTGTTGTTCCAATGATGCATTTCAAGGCACAGTTGACAGCCTCAATTCAGCTCCCAGCTATGCTAACCTCCCTAAACATCATCAGATTGTTTTTAAGAAAGTACAGTCGATGATAATGTAAATTACGTTATTTTATTAATCAAAATTTCAAGGTGCATGAAGCATTTTCATAATCTGTCTCTCTCCACTATTAGCTGTGCCTCTTTAGTGGGTCGTACTGGAGGCAAGCAGTTGGTGTCAATGCAGAGGAGTGGCTGCTTACAGAACGGAATCATCCAGCATGAACTGCTGCACGCGCTCGGCTTCTACCACGAACACACTCGGAGCGACCGTGACCAGCATGTCACAATCAACTGGCAAAACATCCTCAATGGTAAAAATCTCACTACGTCGTTTATGATTGATTGATTCATATTGATTTATTTCTTGGTCTGTTAGCTATTTATTGACATTTTTTTGTCACCAGGTTTAGCCTATAACTTCCAAAAAGGACACGAATAATCTCAACACTATGTATGACTACTCTTCTATAATGCATTATGGAAGGTAAGGTAACAAAAACGTTACATCAAATCAGTGAATGCTGAACTAAATCTATCCTAATGATTTCTGAATGACTCTTTGTCCTATTTCCATTGTCCAAATCTGTAGAACTGCCTTTGGAAACAATGGATTGGAAACCATCACTCCCATCCCTGACGCCTCCGTTTCCATCGGCCAGAGAGTGGGATTGTCCACCATCGACATTCTCAAGATCAACAAACTGTACAACTGCTAGAATTGCACGAGATTAAGGATTACTGTAGTATGTTTTGATTCTGACATGATACTTGACATTCATGTGACAATATGCTAATAAAGATGATGATAGATTTCATTAATCCTATGTCTTTTGTTCTTTACAGCACAATGTCCTGCATATCAATTTTGTGTTTTATGAAAATTGACAGATCTAAGTTTAAAGTCCACAAATGTTTAGTGTGGAAGAAAATGTACTTGTTTGGAGACTACAATTTCATCGTCACAAACTGGAGTCAAGAATTTTCATTGACGTGGATAGGGATGCAATGCAATTATAAAGCAATTATAGATTTTGTTGGTACGATTATTGTCAGAGAAATAATCACGGTTTCATGATTATTACGATTATTATGCATTATTTAATTGCACAACACTAGTAATGACTTAAGTTGATTTTTAATATTTAATTACATTAACAATTATATTTCTATAATATGTAAGTATTATTAATATAAGAGGAATATTAACTTTTATCCCCCAGGGGAAATTGTTATAAAGCAGGGGAATAAACTGAACTGGTACTGTTACTGTCATCAACACTCATCCATACATGTTTTTGTGAAAATGAGAGAAAGAAATTGAGTGCGGTGTTGACTGAAACGACTGAAGGTCTTGAGAGGACTACGTTCTTCCATAAAGGCCCTTTAAGAAAAGAAGCGATTTGCACCGCGTGGAAGCTGCTCCGCACTAAAGTTCTACTGCTTTGACTGCGGCATGCGCGCGAGCTCGCCGTGCGGTGCACGTTGCTTGACGCAGCAACAAACCACTCTGGCGCGGCGCAAGCCACTGAAAAACAATGGGCCTCAAAGTGCAGCGGGGCTGTTGTTGCGGTATGTCTGAAAGTTTACACCTGCTTTGCTTGTTTACGTTGCAATGAATGCCCGACTCTCACCGCTACGGCATCGATTATAAGTGACACGTTTATATATAATTCCGTACCAACTTGCTACGTTATTTAATATAATGTATTAGGCCTACCTTTAGTGTAAGCTGGGTGGTGATCCCGCAGGTGCTTCATCAAGTTTAATGTAGTTATTCGTTCCTTTAGCAGGAGCCTTTTAACGGCAAGTTTTTGAACAGGTGATCCGTCATCTTCAGTGACACCCTGGTCAGACTTGGTGTACCCGAAATGCTCTCACACTGCCGACTTCGGCCGTTTCTCTGGTTTCGCCAGTGTGCAGTAGCCTCTGATAAGCACGACACTTACGCTGGTGCACCGCTACTGTAACTTTGTTTTTATTTTGTGCAAGTTGCCACAGTTTCGTTCCGTGCAACAGAAACACTCGGTGTAGCCTTTACGATTAATTAACCGTGACGTTTTAAAGCGCGGTTAATAGTGAAATCCGGTCATTGCTGCATCCCTAGCCGTGGATGTTTACAAGGCATTCTGGCCCCATCATAGGGGCTTCAAGGCAAGTTATCTTTGGCTCTGCTGCTTCAATTGTGACTATTCTTGTTGGCCATTGTGTTTAAATACTGCAGTACTGATTCACTTAGAGTTATAATTTACAGTGTCTATGAATGCTATAAAAGTGCAAAGGCTATACTTGTTTTTATTCCTTGAACTTTTTAGCTTAAATATCATGGTGCACAGCTGTGACTCAGCAAATGAAAACCCAAACTGTTCTTTATGTTTCCACAGAAACAGCATGGATGGCATCAACAAAGTTCCTGTATGACTCTGAACATTACAAAACAATCCATTTATGTTCATTTGTTAGGAACAGCTGTTTATTGTATGCAGTAAAATCCTGTTGCAAATAAAACTTTAAAAACAGTTTTATATTTATTTTTTCTAAAAAATTTCATATTGATTGGCGGGAAACAAGACTGGAATGCGAGTCCTGCTCCCCACATCTTTCAGGCCTCTCACTGCAGATTCAGACCGTGCCAAAATAATAACGAATAGGTTACTACTGTGTTTATCACTGCAGATATGTGACCATACTTGGTACAATACAAAATTTAATCATATTGTGAAAGTGCTTGAGCCTTGTGCAGTGCATGTGCAGTTTAGTCAGTGTGTTGTGCCTGTCCTGTTTAAAGAAGTGCAAGCTGCAGTTGTTCAGGAAATATCAACAGGTCATTGCCTTATGATCAAGCATTACTGACATTTGTGTAACTTTTCTTATTGAGTGCTTTTACTGTTACAATAAACATATGTACAATACAATTTTTGTTTTCCCCGCTGAACCAAAAACTTACAATCCGTGAAACTAAAACCGAAGTATAGTACAAACCAAACTGTGAATTTTTTGTGGGATTTCGCCCCTACTATATGTCATAATTAACCCCTATTTTTTACTATGTGAGTAAAATACACGTGAATAGTGCTACCCCTACAATCAGAAACATGTTGAATTACAGACATAAAACATAATCTGAAAACTGTTAAATGCTGGAATGAGCAAAATCATAGTTGAAGTTGAAGTCCATTGAACCCATCAAAAAGAAAAGTACAGGAGAAGAAAGAGAAAGGAATGAAAAACAAAGTTAAAAATGAGACTGGGAAAAGCCTATACTACAATTTTACTCTGACAACTGATGGTTTTTTGTAGCCTCTCCTCTGCTTAACAAAGTGCAGATGTTTGGGGAGAAATGAAACATCAATCATTTTTTTGTAGATAGCTCTAGACTGACATCCAGTTGAATAAGATCAGCTTCCCCCCTGCCATTGGAGAGGCATTAGGAATAAAGTTTAACTGAATGGATGAGTCATACATCACTGAGCATTACTCGTGCTTTGCTGTGTCTCTAAAACACAAATTGGATTACCTTTGCACCCACACAGATCACCCGAATTGGACAGGCACGGACATACAGGCAACACACAGACAGGGACATACCAATATACCTGTGCAAATGTATGATGCAAGCAAACACTGTAAAATTTACAATTCCATAGGGTTTTATTTGGTTTGCAGTGAAGGGAGTTCACACACCCAGGACCTGCAGACTATCTCTCTTTAAGACATTCAAACACACACACACACACACACAGTGCAATTTTTGTTCCCCGATAATAAATGCCACATTATTGTGATGTACAGTGGAGGACCACATCATATAAAGGTTGCTGTGATGGAATCTCTGTTTGAAGCTGTCGGCCTTGACATGCGAAATCAGATCCTAAAACTGTTTATGGCACTATGAAGCCAGACAGCATCCCTCTTCTCCTGTAAACAATCCACTGGAAGCTGATGATTTATTAGCGAGGCATCCAATAAATCTGAATACTCATCTCTCTAAACAACCCATTTCTGGATTTTGAGTTTTCAGAAGGCTGTGTTTTGTTCAGTCTGGAGGCCAAGGCCCGGTCTTTCCAGCTGAGATCATCACTGATGCAGCAGCAGCGCGTCAATAATGAATCCAGGACTTTATAGCCACTCACTAATTGAGCCATTATTATTATTTGGAACAACACGTTTTAAATAGAGCCATAGAACAATCGGTCACATCCAGTGTAAACTAAAAAGCTCTTTGTAGAATCTAAAGGGTTATAAAGGCCAAAGTGGCTGTTTAGTTTAACAGGAAACAAGGTTTTCGTTGGGAGATTCACTGATAGTACCTGTAGCACTGGAGGTGTTAGTGATCAAGCCATTAAGTGCTCCTACTTGGATTAAAAAGCAAGTTTGTTCTGATACCAATAGTGAAATAAATTGCTCTTTGGCATAATAAAATGTAATTTTCTAGAACAAAAAGACAGCAGTGTGAGAGGTCAACTCACAGCAGCTCCAAACCAAAGAGATGCTCAGTGTGGTGGAGCAGCTCCCTCAGCAAACAGAAATCCAAAAATAATCTTGATTTTGACTTTATAATAAAGTTGTTTTTTGTAAAAATTAATCCAAGAAATACTGATATTAAGATGAAAAAGATGTTGGGGGTAACAAATAATCTTCAGAGCCAACAAATAATAATGTATTCACAGTATTCAAATGACTGGATGTTTATCAGTATGGGGTTTACTTTTTTCGGCCCAAATAATGCCATTTTCTACAACCCTTCATTATCAATATAAATAATTATTACTTTTTAAATTGTATTTAGGATTGTCACACATTTTGTAATTGTTCTAATTTGTCTGCTGAAACTCAGTGAAAAGCTCTTTGGGTTTACTTTAGTCGATAATGAAAATATCCAGTACTATCAATCAACTAATTGTTTCATTATTTCATCATTATTTCATCAATTTAAAACACCACAGACACAAAATAACACTCCCTATTTGTTCTTTATTAATTAAAAACACTTTTATTTTACCCTGGTAAAATAAAAGTGCAGATATTTAATAGGGACATAGCATTCTTTGTTTCAAATGGTGTAGCTGTTATTTTTTAAATAAAACTTTAAGACAGGCCCAGATCTCATGTGCGGACCCCCTGCTGGTTAAAAAGGCCACCTGAAATCTGATGCTAAATGAGCTGACAGCAGCCTGTGGTCATTGTAATCCCCTCAGAATAAGATTATCCCTCTGTGGAAACAGTGGGCCAGGGTGGGCAGGGCACTCCCATCAGCTGTGTGTCTAAAACAGAGCCCATTAAACACCTACCACTAATCTCTGTACACAGACACAGCCCGACAGCCTGCATATAAACTCAGCACAACTGCTGCTTCAGCATCAGTCCTCGGTGAGACGAGTGAAGTCTCCGAATCGACATCTTGAGCATCAACACCTTCAGACAAAAATGGACCTCCGAACAACAGTTTCTCTTCTGCTGCTGCTTCTGGGCCTCTGTAAGGCTCACAGTGAGGACATCTCCACGACTATTCTGAGGATGAACAGTGGTGAGTATTTAATCATGATATGTAATTAATTTAATCATATTACAAGGAAAGTGAGGGAACATTAGAGTCTTACAATATTCAATAATAGAAACCATATATAGTGCAACACATTTTTTGACAAACTTGCTTTGAAATTACTGATGGTCCGAGAGTTAGATCAAAATGCATATTTTCTTTTCTTCCTATAGAATATAGTGAATTTCTGCTGGAAGGAGATGTGATGATTCCAAAAACCAGGAATGCTATGAAGTGTCTTCAAGGCGCAAACTCCTGTCTGTGGCCAAAGTCTGCTAATGGGAAAGTGGAAATTCCTTTCATTATAAGCGATGCATATGGTAGGTTTTACTATTTAATGTACTACATTAATGGTGCTGGGCGGTGTGGTGGTACAGTGGTTAGTACTGTCGCCTCACAGCAAGAAGGTTGGGGGTTCAAACCCCAGTTGCCCTAGCCTTTCTGTGTGGAGTTTGCATGTTCTCCTGGTGTCAGTGTGGGTTCTGTCTATGTGTGGGCCCTGCGATAGACTGGTGACCTGTCCAGGGTGTACCCTGCCTTTCGGCCAATGTCAGCTGGGATTGGCTCCAGCCCCCCCGCGACGACCCTGTACACAGGATAAGCAGTTGACGATGGATGGATTAATGGAGCTGGATTTTGTGTATTATCATGTCTCCTTCATATACTGCATTGATTATGTTAATGATGAATTACTTTTATTCACCATTTCAGAAAACACTGAGAGGAATACGATTGTACAGGCCATGAAGGGCATTGAATCCAAAACCTGCATCAGCTTCATTCCACAGTCAACTGAGACGTCGTACTTAAGCATTGAATCAATGAATGGGTAAGTCTATATCTGAGGCACTCCAGTATGTGAAGGGGAGAAGGACACAAGTGCAAGTAGTGTACAAAGAACAAGGGGGACAGTCAAGATAATTTATCTGTTAAGGGAAAAGTGAACAGTAAACATGTTTAAACATTATTACTTTATTTCACTTTAACCTGTCCATCTATGCACCACATGAATCACATTTTGCTTTCCACTTTAGGCAACTGAATGTACTTAAAAGTTAAGATGTCCTCGTATGAATAAAAACTTCCTCAACACAAAGTTTCTGAATGGCCTTGATGCAGACCCACCCATCTGATGCTACACATTGGCGTGCATGGATTACTGAACGGGCCTACAGGGCAGCCATGGCAGCCCAGGGCGTCTTCTTGTGACTGTTTACATTTCTTGATGAAAAGTCAAAATAGCTTGCTCCTGATAGTTATTGTTGTTGATTTTCTTCCTTCATATCACAGCTATAAAGTATTGAGGCACCAGTAGCATTTCATTCAAATACAGCAACATTAGTGAAGCTAATTAAACCAGTTTGATAGCAGAAGAGTTCTGTATATCAGGCTTTCTTTGGTGGTTTTCTATGTTGTGGAGTGTGCGCTAGTATTTAGAATATCTGTGCAGAGGAGTGTCAGTACAACAAAGAGGCGCAATATGGCTACAAAGAGACATTAAACAACCACAAACAGAAGCAAAAAAGCACAGACAGAAGCAAATGACTAATGTATGTAATCTTTTTGCATTTCTTTCAGTCTGGAGGTTTTGTTCCTATGGAGGTCACATGTTTGTGTCCAGGAGCCCATTGTCTCATGCACACATAGGTTTAAGCTACAACATGCATCTTTGAGAATCATTCTTGCTTAACAATGGCAGGAAGTGCTTTTTTAATCCAGCCCTCTTCTTTTTAGTTACCCAAACACTTGTCAGTCATTTCCGCAACCTTTCAGTCAAGAGTAGACCATCAGCTCACAACAAGAGCTTTAGAATCAAGAAGAACTGCCAGTTTAGCTTCACAACAGATGTTTTTGCCTGTTTGAATGATGATCTATAGTTGACAGCCTCAATTCAGCTCCCAGCGATGCTAACCTTACCAAACATCACCAGAAAGTAAATTATTTAAGAATGTAAAAACAGAGTCGATGATATTATTTTATTACTCAAATGTCAAAGTGCATAAAGCATTTTAATAGTCTCTGTCTCTCCTTCACTCTCTCCACTATTAGCTGTGCCTCTTTAGTGGGTCGTACTGGAGGCAAGCAGTTGGTGTCAATGCAGAGGAGTGGCTGCTTACAGAATGGAATCATCCAGCATGAACTGCTGCACGCGCTCGGCTTCTACCACGAACACACTCGGAGCGACCGTGACCAGCATGTCACAATCAACTGGCAAAACATCCTCAATGGTAAAAATCTCACTACGTCGTTTATGATTAATTGATTCATACTGATGTATTTCTTGGTCTGTTAGCTATTTATTGATATTTTTTTGTCACCAGGTTTAGCCTATAACTTCCAAAAGAAAGACACAAATAATCTCAACACTATGTATGACTACTCTTCTATAATGCATTATGGAAGGTAAGGTAACAAAAACGTTACACCAAATCAAATCAGTGAATGCTGAACTAAATCTATCCTAATGATTTCTGAATGACTCTTTGTCCTATTTCCATTCTCCAAATCTGTAGAACTGCCTTTGGAAACAATGGATTGGAAACCATCACTCCCATCCCTGACGCCTCCGTTTCCATCGGCCAGAGAGTGGGATTGTCCACCATCGACATTCTCAAGATCAACAAACTGTACAACTGCTAGAATTGCACGAGATTAAGGATTACTGTAGTATGTTTTGATTCTGACATGAATACCACCTACCTCATGTGACAGTATGCTAATAAAGATGATGAAGATGATAATGGGTTTCCTTAATCTTTTGTCTTTTATTTGACAGCACAATATACTGCGCATAAATTTTGTTTTCTATGAAAATTGGCAGATCTAAGTTTGAAGGAGAAGCTGCTGAAGTTAACGTGTGTGGATTTGTGGCGAGATTTCTGCCTGATCAGTGTGTTTCAGTTACTTTCGGTTTCACAGGCAATATGCAGTGTCAAACTGTGTAACGTTATAACGTAATGCACAGCAGAGTAAAGGGCGGGTAGACTTCTCATTAAATGATGACGTTAGTCTCGTTATATTATGACTTTTTTCAGAGAACACAGATACAGTACGGGGGAGAAATTCTGAAAGTTCAGAAATTTTTGAATATGAGCAGAAAAGCTGCTGAAACAAGTCCAGGGGTTTATAACTGAATTCAAATTAAAACAATTATCACTGAGGTGAAAAGTTGCCACAATCACATTTAAAGAGGTTACTTCCCCAAACAAAAAGACAGAGAGGAGGAAAGGAAATCATAAGCAAATATTAAATAAGATGATCTACAGGAGAAACAGATCTGGGAGCAGCACAGAATGACTGAGAGTTGTACCATTTTGTGTTTGTCTAAATAAATAAATTGACACCATAAACTGGTGCAGAAACATTCATCAGAATGCAGGAAATAAAGTGCTTAAAGGGGCATTATGGAGTTTCCTGCGGTCGTTTCCTGTGCTCGTACGCGTGCTCGCTTGAACTCGTGAGTGAGCATAATCCGAAACACAACCACTTTCATACAGAAATCCTGCAATAAATGCAGAAACACCAGCATGCAGGCTGTGGCTTTTCACTCAGACATGTTCAGTCTCTGTTACAATGTTCCCGTCTCAGAGACAGATCAACACCGGCGCTCCGTACCTTTCATTCAGTGCAGCGAGCCACATATCGGCACAAGAAAAAAGGCAGAGTGACAGCGGCTATAGACAAACAGGGAGACAGCTTCACACAATTTACTGGAAACTCAGGTAAACCCCTTCTGCAACATTACAGTAATAGTTTCATCAGCTGCAGGTTGAACTAATCCATGCTCGTTACATGATAACAGTACATTTACTGCATTTACTGCATTTTTGCATGCCGTCGTGCTACACGGTTAGCTCGCCTGCTGCTTTGAGTAACTTTCTTTACTATCTATGTATCTTTCACCGGAGGCTCAGCAATATCAGGACAGCTAAATGTATTGGATGGTAACGAAATGGTTAGTGAGCTGGACTGAAAATTATAACGACATTGTGTCACATTTTATAATATAAGTCCGCAGTAAGTAACTTTATTGTAGTGTTTGTGCATGGTTCTTCCTCTGGGTTGTTGTCGCTGTGAAGTTGCAGTATTGTATATTATGTGGGTCACGTTAGTTACAGCGACGGAGCGGTGGAGAAGCTGTGTACCTGAGTATTGGTAAAACCACAATAAACCTAAATGTTACGAAGCAAACAGCGGCAGGTCCGAGCTACTGTAGCGTTAGCTGGCTGCTCCGGTGTCAAATAAAATGTACTTGTTCGGAGACTACAAATTCATAGTTACAAACTGAAGGCATGAAGTTTAATTGACGTGGATGTTTACAAGGCACAAAGGGTCTAACGAAAGACAATCTTAGGTTGCATTAGGGAAGTGTGGCCCCATCATATGGGCTTCAAGTCAAGTTATCTTTGGCTCTGCTGCTTCTATTGTGACCGTTCTTGTTGGACATTCTGTTTAATATTGAAGTACTGATTCACTTAGAGTTACCATTTTACAGTGTATACAAATGCCAGTTAAAAAAGTATTAAGGCTATGCTTATTTTATTTCTTGAACTTTTTAGCTTAAATATTGTGGTGCTCAGTTGTGACTCAGCAAATTCCATGAATACTCAAACTGGATGGGTATTAAGGATGGATGGCATCAACAAAGTTCCTGGATTATTCTGACCATTACAAAACAATCCATTTAGCTTCAATTACTGTGTATGTATGCAGTAAAATCCAGTTGCAAATAAATAATAAAATTTTTTTTTTATTTCTACATTATTTCATTTTTCTTCATCTTACTTTCAGAATGGAAACAATGTTGGGAAATGTTGGCAAAAGACAAAGAGATACATTTAATTAGATACAAAAAGGACTGAAGGGCAAATATGAGGCAATATCTTCATAATTTAGTTCATTTCCATTTCAGCTCAGAGTAATTAAGTTTGGAATTTATACACTAGTGAAGAGTACTGTGTTTTATCAGAGTGAATCAGTACTGCAGTGTATTTAGCGAGCCAAATATTGCAGGGCTGAGTCTCTGCAGAAAGGCATAGATGTGGCAGGATACGAGATAAACTCCTCTCCTGCTACTCCCAAACCGTGCAGAGCCATTTTTTTCCACTTGGCCGCATCCCACACTCTTGAACGTTTGTTCTTTTTTTCACCCTTTGAAATCCTACGCAATATGATTCTTCTATATTCACCCCAGTGAGAGAGAGCAGTGTTTGGTGAGAAAGGAGTGGCAGGGGAGTGGCAGGGTGAGATAAGGGAGGAAAATGCCTGGGAGAGAGAACAGATTCCTATTAAGCAAATTTTCCCTCCTTCCATGATGTATAAATGCACTAACAATCATGACAGCATTGCATGTGTTTCTCCAGTGTTCTGGCTTAAATGCAGCTAAAGAGGCCGTGGCACAAGCAATGCTCTGAGAAAGCCAGTGAATCTGTATAGTTCAGATGGACATAGGGCCTTTAATGTTTAATAAAGTAGTTTCAGTTCATATCAATCGTTCTACACATGAAATATTTAAAATCTACTTGTTTATTGAAATATTTAACACTCGGCTCTTTTCATGCGCCAAGAAGCTCCGAGAGACTTTCGGCCAGCTATAAATTAAAGTATTTCTGCAAATCCTGATTAAAATAAGATTACCAATGAGAGCCTGAGATCCCATGACTGAAGTACAAGCAGGCCACCACCAGAACACACAGTGGCTGAAAATCAACATTCAATGAGACCGGAGTCATGAGAGTAATGAGAGTCATCTCTCTGAACTGTGAGGCTGAGGTAAACTCATCGAATGGAATATTTGATCTTTCCTTTGATTGTTGAAGTGTGCTCCTTTGGTTTTGGCGTTACTGAAGGTTACTGAAGCCTTATAAAACATGAACATATGAAATGGAAGCCTGATCTACAGTATATACAGCAATTTATTACTTTTTAGTATTTCCGACTGCGTTGATTACAGTTTTAAAGCATTGTCTCGATTGTACTTTTGAGGGCAGTGTGTATGTGACCAGCAGCGTCTCCTTTAGAATGTCTGTTCTAATGAGAGCAGGCCGAGCGGAGCCAAATGCAGTCTGATCTGTGATGTCACTGGTAATATGCTGGCAGGCCATAACCGCTGGCTGGCTGAGCGGCTTTTACCACTATGTTATTAACACAGATCAGTGTACCTGCCTCTCTTCAAACACGATAAGCTTACATACAGCTCTCCTCAGTTCTCTGCGTGAGCTGTCTAATACCCGCAAATAGGAAATTAAAATGTTCTCTCTGAGTGGTGCTGCCATCTTCCGTCAGTCCAACCTACGAGACTGTAGAGTTTTCTGTGAACACGATAGGCTTTTGTCTTTGGTGGGAAAAACCCTTTTAAAAAAACAAAAGCACTTTTATACTTTTAACTGCAAGTTGGTATGAGTGGGCAAAATCCACACTCCTCTTTCTGTACAAAAATGCATTCTAAAGTTAATCTGACGCTAATGTGAGTCCTGGTTTGTCAAATTAACCCCTTGTGCCCGATTTGATTTGCCTCACAAATCACAGAACAACAAATCTGAAGATATGCTTTTCTCCGATTTCTATCGTAAATGAAAGTCCATACATCCACATAGGAATGATAAACAAATAGATACTGCTCATAACTGCAGAGCTGGCCTGAGAATGATCAAGACCGGCTAGAGGGCAAGATGAGAAGAGGTGGACCCCTGTGTTTTACATGGATGATGCTTGGTGCTCAAACACAGTTATGATGGACTCTTTTTCCCAAATGACAGATTTTTTTATTGCTAAGATGAAACCATATTATCATCTGGTTGCTGCTGTTTACATTCACCCCAGATGCAAATTCAAAAAATGCACTGCAGAATGTTCTTGCTGTATACGTGTATGGATATATGTATATAAATAACTGTATGTATTGTTTTATTTTATTATACCATATTTTAAGATACACTTAATTATATGTTGTGTGTGTAGCATGAAGGAACTACAAATGTTGTTTTGTCATACAGCCTTGTACTGTATAATGACAAATAAACTACCTTGTAACTTGTCCAAGGTTACACTGTAAACAGAAACTGCTAACGGCTAATTTGGCATTTATTAGATTGTGGCAATTTGCCAAAATGTAAACAAATCCGAACAAAAAAAAACAGGGCTCAAGTTGTAGTCCACAGTGTAACTTACTCAATCCATTATGACAAGTGTTTGGGTAGTTACTCAAAAAAGATAATGAACTAGTTACCTTTTTTTTTTTAAAGTAATGCCTTACTTTACTAGATTGCTCAATGCTGAAAGTAACTAGTTACACTACTAGTTCCATTATTTTTGGATTACTGCATAACATCACCTATGATGCACAATAACAATAAAAAGTTTATAAAATAATATCAATAAAAAATAAGACACTGGCCCTCAACAATATCAGATAATGGTGAGACTTCAAAGAGAAAACATAGCATATGAAATGTATTTTGAACTGCGCATTTAACAGACCAAACCCACACAATAAACTTACTGTAGCTCGCTTGCCGAACAATGGCTTTAAATTAGATTTTTCCCTCTTAATGGACATGCTTATCAAAGAGTGGTTATAACTCATCAGCAGGAGTTATCACTGTCCTTTTGCGATATGAAGTAATGAGAATATCCACCTCTCGAAAGACATCTTTAGCCATTCTGCCGTTTCTGTGTCCTCATGAACTGGCGCTAAAGTCAAAAGTG